ATATCTGATAAAAGTGAATGAAATAACTCTTTGTAGTCTCTATTCATTTGTCATGGGTAGAACTAACTCGAGGACATACAGGGTCTTTCATAATGAATGTGATTTCTAAAACACGAAGTTGAAGGTGTTCGTAAATAATAAAATCATAAATTTTGTATTTACCTTATTGCAAATTTCTTGGAATTTCTGTTGATGTAATTAAAACTGCCACACTTCACCAAACTTTCCTTTTGTGCGGACATGATATGCCTCCCCCTACAACACGGGTCAGCTCTTTTTTCACGTAGGCGTTTTGGACGTGGTCGTGGGAAACGGCTCACTGAAGCGCACGGCTGTCCACCGTAAGATTCTGAGACACTTTAAAAGAAGCACAATGTCCGCTCTAAAATGATCACAGGCTTGTGAACAGATTCCAGAATGTCACAGTTGACTGCAAGGAACAATACGCACGAAAGGTCATGTTTTGGGCTGCCGTGGTCGACGGGCGTGTCTTCGTCCACTGGTTCGCTTCTGGCTCATCAGTGACCGAGCCAGCTTATCTGAGGCTGCTCAGTGCTCAAGAAAGAATTCTGGCCTCAAGTCGAGGTAGCGTTCGACTTGAGGTAGAACGCTACCTCAGGTCACTTGACCTCAAGGTCACGTGATTACAAGGTCAGCATGTATATCATTTGATGCGCCTTGACGAGCTGAACACAATGAGACTATTTGCGCGGCTGTATCTTTTTCTGTTAGGATTTATTAGCGAAAAAAAAAACGTTTGGTCAGTCACATGCCCTTAATCTGTCCAATAGGAAATAAGGCATGAAGGTAGTCAAAGTTGGTCATGAATTATGTCATTTATGGTATAATTGACCATGACAACTCGGCCGTCCCAGCAAAGCGACCCTGAGCGCACCGGCCAAGTCGTCCCGCTATTCCCGGCCAAATAACACCACATTGATAGGAAGTTGGGGCAATGCCGGAGTTGGGGCAAAGCCGAAATTCGAGATATTTCGAAAACCGTAAGACATGGATGCCACCTGTCAGTGATGCTCTGAAGCTTAAGTGACTACAATTATCGCATGTTTGTTACGAGTCGTCATTCGGAATACTTCGGCTGTGAGGGCGCCAAGAGCGTTTTCAAGGTACGCGTTCCTTGTACTACATGCGCCTTTGAAGCTGCATTTCTTACTCATTATGCTACCGTTTGTCTGGCCAATTCGGTCAAGTAATCTTCAGCATGTCTTTGCATAAGTGTGCTGCCTATGTGAAATTTATACGGCACGTTGAAAAGTTATGGGCCTGCAAATGAAAGTATGGCTGGCTGGGGTAATGCCGAAAACGTGCAATTACGCACGTTAAAGCACGCTACGTGGACTTGACTGCTGTAGAATAGCAACGCGAATTTTTAGTCACACAAATTACACTTTCAACCGACACAACGGCCTGTTACCTATAAGGAATTATTTACCTGGCATTTTCTTATTATATCACACAACTATAACTTCCAGTGTGCACCAAGCGTCCTCAAGCTCTTAAAACGCGTGTCAGCTTTGATAAATTCTGGATAAAGTTTGAGATAAAGTGGCAAAACATCAATGTCGGCATTCCCCGTAGATCATTTCTCCCATTTTCGGCTTTCCCCGCAGTCTGGGGCAACGTCGAAAAAGTCACTTCTTTGATATTTTTAGTTTGTGCGCTTAACGGTATGCGAATTCATCAAATGCGCCTGGTATGTTTGAAAGGCAAAAGACTGGCCTCTCGAATGACGCCAACAAGAATAGCTTATGTTGTCTACCTTGCGTGCTACGGGCGTCAGAAAAAAAGTATTCGGCGTTCCCCCAACTTCCCCTACTGAAAATTGTTGTCCCCCCCCCCCCCCCCAGAATGGCGCTATAATGTCGGAATTCGTTTACAGCCCAAATACTACATGTTATACAACTTTTTAAAGGTAGTGTGCCAGCTTTCTTGGACCGTATGGAGTTAATGGCCCAGATAAGGAGAACCGGATTTTTAGAACTTATCCATACCTTCAAAACTCATGGAAACGTCTTAAATTCTTCAAATTTTGAGTACCCCAGTGCGAAATTCGCCCCGACGGGTTGTCGGTCGTACCCCAACCACATTTCACACCACTATGAACAATAAATGCACACACTGAAATCGCTATTACCGATATGCTCATCCAATCAAGTTTCGATAAACCCGTTCATCATCAGCTCCTGCGGTTTCGAACACGCCTGTTAGGTGGCTTCTGATGCTCGTCGAGGTCGGAATTTCCAAATACGCGTGGTGCGTCGGGCCGCGCGCTCTGACTTCGGCCAAGAAAAATGTGTCAGCTGATCATTGTCATTTCTGCCACTTGCGCAAGGCCCTATATACCCACTTGCGTGTGGTGAAATGGGGTCATAACTTATGAGACGGCTTTTTCATATCAATTATTTTACATAAAATCATATTTCAAACCATAAATAATGTTCGACAGCCAAATAAAAGAAACAATACCAATACGGGCTTACAGTTTAAGGCTCGACATTGTGTTGTCTACGATTAGACAGCTGATAACTCATTCCCGTACGTCGTATGGTCGTAACACTATAATGACCTTTGCTTATTGTCACAAGTGCGCCGCATTCGCGATTGTTGCCCGACGCCTGTTTGCAGGTGAGCCCACTACAGTTGTTATACATATCTAAAAACCGAAAAACTTTTAGGCGAAAAAAGCACTATTCCAGGCCCATTTTTGATTTTTTTTTGCGATATTAGGTAAAAACAGAAGCTTCTTATCCTAGGAAAAATAAAATGGGAAATCTTTCAAAGGTGGCACACTACCTTTAAGCGGAAGTAGAAGTTGCCATTTTCTAACGAAATTCACGTTTTATTTATTTTGAAGAAAACTATGAGGGGAAAGCTTTGACATACAGGGTCTTTCATAATGAATGTTATTTTTAAAATAGCCATAGCTCAGGTGATACCTACACATCACAAAGTTATTGTCAATACCCGAATGAACTAACAAATCATGGGAAATTATGTGCACATGACTCGCATTTAGGTACCCTTCATCGATTTTTAACTGTATCGCCTTGCTTTCGGACCCAGATTTCGGCCCGCTGACGCAAATGGTGCACCACGCGCTTCACATCCTCCGCGCACAGCATTGCAGCAAACCTCTCCACTGTGACCTGTAGCTCTATGAGGGTCACTGGAAGGGCCTCTGCTTGGGGTCTCCAGACGACTGCCCAAAATCAGAAGTCCATCGGCGAGAGATCAAGGCTTCAAGCTGGCCATGGCAGCTCAGTGAGACGGCTGATCACTCGCCTGTCAAAGTTGCCATCCAACCACTGGCGCCCAGCCGCCGTTGTGTCACTTCAGCGCCGTCCTGCTGAATCCAGCGGCCTTGTCTTCGAGTCAACCTCAGAAATGCGTCAAATATGTCGTAGGACACACGTCATTGCTGAATGTGAAGCTGACTCGCCTATAACAAAAAATCCCAGCCTACAACTAACACCGGCCAAATTGCCCCACACCCCCGGACAAATTAACACCTTACTAAAACCAAATTAACACCTTGCTAGTGCGGCAATTTGGCCGCCTTGCACACCTTTGTAATACGTCACAATTACAATATAATAATCACTCTATCATTTCAAGTTCACTATCCAGTGAAGTAAAATGAATGCGACACCTGCCAGCGTTGAGAAAATGCAGAAATGTGTCGCAAATTTTAAGCTACATCGTTTTCTTTATAAAAAAACGGCCAAATTACCCCAACCTCCCCTACGCTTAGTGGTTTAGAAGATATATTAGAATAGAAAAACGGGAGGGATCATGTACAGCTTAACAGCAAGCATTTCACAACACTCCAGAATGGCCATGAATCGTGGTGTTGGTGGTGCGACGAAACGACCTCCTCGAGTGTGTTACACTTGCATTTACCTACGAAATTGGTGCTAACTGGATGTTCTTATTGGGGCTCGGGTGTAAAAAAGTTATCAGTGCAAATTGAGTTTACCGCACTTAGTGAAACAGGGCCCAGGTCACCAGCTAGCAGGTCCGGCGTCCCAGCAGGTCTCCAGCGAGGTCAGGACTGGCTCGCCGACTGACCTGACAGGCCGCCCACCTGATCTGCAACTCTGCATACACCGAACCAACCACACCAGCGCGAGCCAGGCTAAAACACACCGCCCGGCTAAAACAATGCCCAGTGCCCGGCGAAAACACTGCCCGCTTAAAACATACCGCCCGGCTCAGACACACCCCAACCGGCTCAGACACACCACCCGACTCAGAAATCAGACACACCGCCCGGCTCAGATACGCCCCGGCTCAGACACACCACCGAACTCGACACCACTCGGCTCAGACACACTGCCCCGCCCAGACACCCCAACCGGCTCAGAAATCAGACACACCGCCCGGCTCAGACACACCGTCTGACTCAGACACACTGCCCGGCTCAGACACACTGCCCGGCCCAGACACACCGTCCGGCCCAGACACCCCAACCGGCTCAGACACACCGCCCGGCTCAGACACATCCCGGCTCAGACACACTGCCCGGCTCAGACACACTGCCCGGCTCAGACACCACTCGGCTCAGACACACCGCCCGGCTCAGACACACCGGCCGGCTCAGACACCCCAACCGGCTCAGACACACCGCCCGGCTCAGACACACCGTCCGGCCCAGACACCCCAACCGGCTCAGACACACCGCCCGGCTCAGACACATCCCGGCTCAGACACCCCAACCGGCTCAGACACACCGCCCGGCTCAGACACATCCCGGCTCAGACACACTGCCCGGCTCAGACACACTGCCCGGCTCAGACACCACTCGGCTCAGACACACCGCCCGGCTCAGACACACCGGCCGGCTCAGACACCACTCGGCTCAGACACACCGCCTGGCTCAGAAATCAGACACACCGCCCGGCTCAATAACACCGCCCGGCTCAGACACGCCGCCCGGCCCTGTGCCCGGCTACAGCGTTCAGGTTTTCCACATTTCGTCTCACTTTCATTCGGTTGGGCACCGCTCGCAGGTCAGATTCATCTCCTCTCCTGTCCACTCCTCTCCACACCTATCCACTCCACTCCACTGTGTGCCACACACGCTGTGGGAGCCGGCCGCCGCGTCAGACGGGCAGCAGTGACTGATCGCCGGCCGAGCGCTGCGGCGGGGCTGGGCTGACGGCGCGGCGCAGCTGAGCAGCCGGCGACCCGTTACCTCGGACCGGGCAGGCCCCGGCGGCCGTCACGGCCTGCTGCGTCACCGCCCCGGCGGCCGTCACGGCCTGCTGCCTCACCGCGCGCTGCGGCGAGTGGGCACCCTCACTGACGTCACCGCTGATGATGGCACCCTGACTGACGTCACCGCTGATGGCACCCTGACTGACGTGACCGCTGATGGCACCCTGACTGACGTGACCGCTAATGGCACCCTGACTGACGTCACCGCTGCGGGGACCCTGACTGACGTCACCGCTGATGGCACCCTGACTGACGTCACTGCTGCGGGGACCCTGACTGACGTCACCAAGTATGCGATGTGACCTAGCGTTTGCAATGTGACTATTTTTTTATTATTAAATTTTTAAATTATAATTTAACCGAAATTGGAAAAACCAAAAACAAAATAATAAAAAAATGACATTTTCAAACCACGGTACTGCTTACATTTTTTTTGGCGCGTCTCTTTCAATCCGCCATACCTTGTATTGTAAAGGCTGAGCTAGCGTGACCGTCCAGGAAATTACGTGCGTGATCTGCAGATCCGTGATTGCGAGACTCCGTGACATCGGTTTCTGCTATTTTTCAGAATTTCCGTGAATTGTTGTATGCTGACGTAATAATAACAACTAATAAATGTTTTCGCAACAAACGCTTTAGTTTGCTATTTTCTATACTATTTTATTAATAATAAATTTATTTGGATAATAAAACATCAAAACCACATGTAAATTAAAGAAACAATTATTAATTACGTCACTTGGATTCATACCTACAAAGCGCCACCAAGTGCGCCAACAACTGTCTCAGTCATATCACGCAATCACGCAGATTCTGCAAAAAAGTTCGTAGCTCTGAACTTTATATCGGTACGGAACATCCTGGCCCTGTTTCACCGGTGATAGCAGCACGCTGCTATCACACGTGTCAAATTGGGTTTCCATGGAAACATCAACAAACCATGGCGTCGTCAAACTGTGTGATGTCATCAAATATTGCTGCTAACATCTTCACGGCCGTGCGCAGAGGCGGATCCAGCTCAGAGGTTTGGGGGGGCAAACCATAACAATTTATCGATTCTTTCTAGAGATGTCAATCGGATACCAACTTTTTGGTATACCGATACCAAACCGATACCAACTTGGTACCTATTTGGTATTTCAATCGTAATGTGTTTGGTATTTTGTTGGTATCATAAGCCCTCACTAATGTATAAGAGGCTAAGAAATCGATAAAAAGTTGGTATTTCCCTCATTTTCCCAAGTTGGTTTGGTTTCGGTATTTTGCCGTGGTTTTGGTTGGTATTTGGTTTGGTATCGTATCGGTATTCCAATTTTCCGTAATTGACATCACTAATTCTTTCCATGCATCGTCCATAGGCGTAATGTTAAAATTATGCCGTTGGGGGGGGGGGGTAACTGCCCATTTTGCCCCCCCCCCCTGGATCCGCCACTGGCCGTGCGATCAAACAAATGCATTCAAGGAAACAGCAACTCTGTTCCAAACGTAGCTATGAAAAAGCTCACGGACTACACGAAACGTCAGTAGTGTGACGTCATCACATTACGTCAGCTCGCGCAATTTGATAGCAGCGTGCTGGGCGGTGTTTCACGGGACGCTGCTACCACGCTGCTATCAAATTGCGCGAGCTGACGTTACACTTGTGGTAGTGTTGGAGCAATGGGCCTGTTGATGTTTCCATGGAAACCCAATTTGACACGTGTGATAGCAGCCCTGCTATCACCGGTGAAACAAGGCCCTGACCGTCCTGACTATCCGGCATTTCCTACTGAACGTCCGGGACTGAATCTGCGTGACCCCAGCAGTGTAGCCGACCCTGTGTATTTCCTATCAGCTGAACTTGACCTGCGTACCGATTTTCTGCAAAACCCGCAAACTCGCAGATCACGGACGTAGGATCCCGCATAGTGTAGCTAGACCTTAAAGGTAGTGTGCCACCTTCGAATGATTTCCCATTTTATTTTTCCTAGGATAAGAAGCTTCTGTTTTTACCTAATATCGCAAAAAAATCAAAAATGGGCCTAAAATAGTGCTTTTTCGCCTAAAAGTTAATCGGTTTTTCGACATGTATAACAATTATAGTGGGCTGACCTGCAAACAGGCGTCGGCAACAATCACGAATGCGGCGCACATGTGACAATAAGCAAAGGTCCTTAGGTAGAGTTACGACGTACGGGAATGAGTTATCAGCTGTCTAATCGTAGACAACCACTGAACTCTATAATGTAGACAACACAATGTCGAATTTAAACTGTAAGCCTGTATTGGTATTGTTTCTTTAATTTGGCTGTCGAACATTAATTTATGGTTTGAAATATTATTTTATGTAAAATAATTGATATGAAACAGCCGTCTCTAAAGTTATGACCCCATCTCACCACATGAAAGTGGCAGAAATGACAATGATCAGCTGACGCATTTTTCTTGGCCGAAGTCAGAGCGCGCGTCCCGACGCACCACCACCGCACCACAAAGTATGAGCAGAAGCCGCGCCCAAAGCCAGGGCCCCGGTAACGTGAGGTAGCCGAGTCGGGGCAGCGTGCGCTGACCCAAGCCGGGGCCGCGGCTTTGGGCGCGGTCTACCCCATCCCCGCGGGCAGCCCCGGGCTATCACATGACACCGGGAGGACGCGCGGCCCCGGCTTGGGTCAGCGCACGCTGCCCCGACTCGGCTACCTCACGTTACCGGGGCCCTGGCTTTGGGCGCGGTCTACCGCACCACCTAACAGGCGTGTTCGAAACCGCAGGAGATGATGATGAACGGGTTTATCGAAACTTGATTGGATGAGCCTATCGGTAATAGCGATTTCAGTGTGTGCATTTATTGTTCATAGTGGTGTGAAATGTGGTTGGGGTACGACCGACAACCCGTCGGGGCGAATTTCGCACTGGGGTACTCAAAATTTGAAGAATTTAAGACGTTTCCATGAGTTTTGAGGGTATGGATAAGTTCTAAAAATCCGGTTCTCTTTATCTGGGCCATTAACTCCATACGGTCCGAAAGCTGGCACACTACCTTTAAAGCAGTGGTCGGCAGGTCATTCGGGGTCGTGCCCCCTTTTTGGGCGCCAGGCAGGGCCATAACCCCCACCTACCAGACCCCATTGCTGACACAACCAAGTTTACTGAAATTTCATACAGTCTTGGAACTCTTTGGGTATTTCTGCATTTCCGATGCATCAAATTTAAAACATGACACTTCCTCCGCAAAACATTTAATACCTATATCCCAGTAGCGGCGGAACACCTTCAATTAAGGGGGAGGGGGGGGGGGGCACTGCCGACTTTTGGTCCCATTCTTTCAATGCAACGCCCATAGGGCTAATGTTAACCCGCGCACCGACGGGGGTCTGCGCCAACTTCGCACCGACGGGGGGGGGGGCGGATGACCGCCCCCCCCCTGAGATCTCGAGAACGAAGCAAGATAGCGACAAGCGGTAAACGGCATCGGATACGCACGGCCAAGATCTACAATTTTTACTAAGGTCATTTTCAAGTCAGGTCAAAGATGACGTCACAGGGGTCGAAAAAGTCAAAATGGCGGCGCTAGATATGGAGAGAGTTTTTCTCGAATAACTTTCGAATTAGTCAAGATAGGAACAAACTAAGGGCATCATCGTGATTCTCTCGTCAATCCGCATCGAATGATATATGTTGACCTCGAAAGGTCAAGGTCAAAGGTTGACCTCAGGTCACGTGACCTCGAGGTCATCATGTATATCATTCGATGTGTCTTGACGAGCTGAACACAATGAGACCATCCACGCGTCTGTATCTTGTTCCTGTACGGAGTTATTGGCCAAAAACCTTTGGTGACCTTTGATGACGTCACATGACCTCGCAGCTGCCCAACAGCAAAACAGACCTCAAGGTAGTGAAGGTTGATCGTATATGAAGTCATGTATGGTATATGGGGCCATTCCGACCCGTTTTAGTGGTAAAAACAGGGAGTTGATTTTTCCCCATTGACTTATAATGGGGAGGTCGCGAAATTGACCTGACCTTAGGTCACCGATATCAAAATTCCGAGATATAAAAATTGTAGCTACTAATGACCTAATAATATCCTGCGACTTTCAAAGGCCTCCGACATCTACTGTAGCTCTGGCACGGTGACAAAGTTGCAAAAAAGTGACTTGAGGTTGGGTCATTCAAACTGACCTGGTGACCTGACCTTAAAAGGTAGGAGGTTCAAACTTGCACACCATGTGTAAAATTGATGAGGTTATAATCATACCAAATTTCGCGGCGCTACGCGCCGCGGTTTTCCCGCTATTTGCGAAAAAACCTCAGGGGGCGGATATCCGCCCCCCCCCCGTCGGTGCGCGGGTTAAAATGCCAAAATCAAAGGGGTGCCCCGGTGCCCTCCCCGTTCCGCCGCCTATGCTATATCCCATTTAACCCTTGTACGTATAGGAGCGGCGGGTGGTTTTTCGTTAAAAGCTCATGTAAAAGGCATTGGATCACGACCAAATTGTACCCTCGAGCCCATCATTTTTTTTACCAGCCCGGAAAACATCATGACCTGAGACCAATTTTACCAACAGAAAAATAGCCGCCTGCCGGAATTTTTGCCTCAAGACCCCTTCACATACGCGAGTAAACGCGATGGGCACGTAAGCGGATAGGGCTTTACCGTTTACGCTCCATATGTGAAACGATCTTTAGGCAAAAAATTCCGGCAGGCGGCTATTTTTCTGTTGGTAAAACTGGCCTCTGGACCCATAATGACCGTTGGCTTATGCGCTTTTTCTGGAGATAATCTTGAGCCATAAAATCTCACTTCAAGAAGTTATAGCGGGTCCCGATTTTCTCGACACTTGTCATTGCCCTCTTGAATGAGACGGAATTACCACACTGAAAACAATTTAACCCAAGGCTGGCGAGTAGACCGGTGTTTTACGG